TTATTACTACTAATTACAGCTTGGAGTTTTTGTTCAGTTTTTTTTTTAATTATTTTTTAAAAGTATATTTTCTTTTAGGTATTAGAATGTGGAGAGGAAAAAATTCTTACACTCACAGAGGTGGAACAAGTCAAAGCTCTTGCAGCCCAGTTGGTTAAACTGCTGCGGTCCCAGAAAGATAACTGCCTTATGATGACTGATTTACTTACAGAATACAGTAAAACATTTGGTTATGCATTGCGTCTTCATGACTATGATGTCAGCTCAGTTCCAGCTTTAATGCAAAAACTTTGCCATGTTGTAAAGGTAAATATTTTTGGCGTGCCCTTCTTTTAAAAAGAGCATAAATGTCATGTTAAGGCAGGAAGATATGTCAAGTTTTCCAGTGGGAGGGTAGGTGGGTGGACATGTGTGTATGTGCAGACTTGACAATCAAAATCTTTTCAAGTGAAATGAAACATTTTGGGCACATGAGTAGCACAGATTATTGGCTGAGCGTGGGGGTGCTAGAGCCGACTGCGGCAACCTGCAACTCTGCTCTCATCTCCCTGAAGGGAGAGTGGAGGGAAAGCAGAGCAGGGATGGAAGTAGCAGTAGGGGGTTCCCTACTGTCCTAAACCTCTCCTTGGAGCAAAGAGGTGGAGAGGATTGGGAATGGAGAACTTGATTTCAGCATGAGTAGAGTTTCCAAAATAGTAGTTGTTTCAAGAAATGCTGTGTTGGACTGTTTCAGTGGCCTTAGAATGTTTTTAAAGGGCATGTACATATATCCAGCTGGCCCTTTGAAATGTTTTATGTGTTTTTGTACCCTCTGGGCTCATGTACACGAGATGCTTGACTTGAGATTAAAGGTAAATATTGCACAGTAAGCATCACCAGTAATTTGCTCTAATCATAAGTGAATTTGCTACCTGTAGCAACAAGCAACATGCAAACAAGCAGCAAATTTTATTCCCAATTACTTCTGTGCAGTACGGCACGTGTAGGTGGCTGACCAGGAGCAAATGTGCTCACCGGGGTGGGAGATTTGCTGCTTGCTGCTGGGGCAGGCTCTGCCACCAGAGCCCAAGTAAGGACAATGTCCACCTGTCTTGGTAACAGGGAGCTCCCAGCCCCCACATCATGATCAGGGAGCAGGAGCTGGGAGGTTCTTATCTTCCAGCCCGGGTCCCATAGTCACCATGAGCAAGCATGTCTGCTTCCACATCCCTGCACATGTGGGTTTACCCATAGTGGGTTTACTCTAGAGATGCTTGCCCGTAGTGGGTTTATACCCAGAGTATTGCACATACATCTACATGTGCAAAGATGTGTAGATGCACATCTTTTCACATGTAGACATGACCTTTGTTTCCAGTATTAGTACTGTTAAGGTAAGGTTCTGTCCAAAAGCAGACTTTTCAATTAATTTCAAAAGCTTTTTAAAAGCAGCTTTCAGACAAAATTGTGACACATTCTTGCTCACCTCTTACACTTGAGAAAAGTCATGCTTATTTAGCAAACAGCAAGTATGAGGTGTGTGTTTCTGTAGACCCACAGAACTGGCAATCCTTTTTTCAACCACTCTTAATATTAAAGCTGTTTATGGTATCCAAACTGTATGTTAAATTCCCTTTGCATCCATAAATTGCAATAGTAAACATTATTTCTGCCCATTTTTGACATTCCTTTAGCTGTTGTAGTTAGTGAATTGGTGCTTCCCTATCTTTGTGATTGAGTTTTATGTAGCTTTATAAATTGCTTTAAATCATCAAAACAAATCTGCTGTAGCATTTTTAATCTGAGGTCAACATTTTTTTCTTGTACAGTAGAAAGTTTATTAAGTTCCAGGTTAGATGATGTAAAATCCTGTTTTTGATTTGGTTTTTGCCTCTTGTCTTTTACTAGGCCATCTTTAAATATAAATTATTTAAACTAAACCCAGATTTGTATTAACCTTTTTTTTTATACATCTTTTTTTTTTTTCCAGGTTGGTGACATGGAATCTGGCAAACAGATTCAGCTGATAAATAGAAAGTCTCTTCGGACTCTGACTGCACAACTGTTGGTGTTGCTGATGTCTTGGGATGGCACCTCTTTTCTTTCTGTTGACCAGCTTAAAAGGCGTTATGAAACTATCCACAGTACTCCCCTTAATCCATGTGAATATGGATTTATGACTTTGACTGAACTGCTGAAGAGTCTGCCTTATTTAGTTGAGGTATAGAAATTGATTTAGTTTGATTTTATTTTGTTTGCCTTTAGTTGTGATTTATAGTGTGTACTACCTCTTGTACTGTCAGAAACTATTTTTGCGACTAAAAAGTTTGTACACTTTTTATTTTTCTTTTACGCAGGTTTTTACTGATGATGCAGAAGACGAATACGTGAAACTTACTTATCTATATACGTTTGCAAAGAATGTAAGGTCCTTGCTTCATACCTATCATTATCAGCAGATCTTCCTTCATGAGTTTCCCACAGCCTATAGTAAATATACAGGAGAAGTATTGCAGCCTAAGGCATATGGCTATAATAGTCTAGAAGAACTCTTGGGAGCAATTCCACAGGTGTGAAGAATTTTCACATTGTTGAGATTTGATTGGCTTAGAATAGCTTTTTAAAGCTTTTCATCAAAACAGTAGAAGTTCTGTCCTACTGTTAAGTGCTGAACTCTTAATTAAGCAGATGAGGGCGTTACTCTCCCTAGGGCACTTTTACATGTGCTCCTGATGCAGCGCCAGGCACTTTTAATTAGCGACCCGTGCTATTTAAAAGCGCCCGGCGCTGCATCTGGTACAGGTGTATAAGTGGCACAACGCACGTCAGCACTGAAAATGGCAGCGGTGCACATTAAATGTGTTTTAGTTCAGTGCACCGCTCACCATTTTCTCACCACTACACGCACTGTGCCACTTATACACCTGGGGCTGACTTGGCACCAGGGGTGTCAATTTACATGCTCCAACAGACTCAATTACTTAAGACTGCTTAGATGCACTGGATTTCCAGCGCGTCGGAGCTGACTTGCCGCATGTGTGTAAGTGCCCTTAGAATTCAGCCCAGGGAAAGGATTTTTAAGGTGGCGGGTGATTCTAAGTAGGGTGTTTGCTTACAGCACAGCTCTATCCCACTGCTAGTACAAATAAACAGAATCGTTACTTAACTGGAAACCACATGAATATATTAATATTAACAGACAACCACAACAATAACAATCATATACAAAAATTATAATACAGTGGTGAGTAAGAAAACAAAGAACAGTATGCAGACTTCAGTTTGTGTACTCCAAACAACGTTGCAACTTACACACACGTACACAGAGAGCTTAGCTGTTACTTGCTCTCAGGCCCTGGCCTTTAATTGAGAAATGTGAGGATTCCCCCCACCTCCCCAGAAGACTTTTCACATCTCCAGGATATTTTTTCTCCTTTTACAAAAGGAGCAGGTGATACTTTATCATACAGGTGTTGCTCAATGGGCAAATCCCAAAGTGATCGCTGGGGAGCCTTGTTCCACCCAGGCTAAACACAACTCCAAGCGTTCCACAGACACTCGCACACAAAAAAACACCCTTAATCTCTCTCATTCTCAAAATCACTAGACTCAGGAACTCGCACCAGACTCTCACACTCGAATCACGCACAGCAAAAGGTCACGTAACATGGGCACGGACATGGACACAAGCTCAGGCCCTTTTATATCTCAAAATCTCATCACATTCATGGTCTAATCGTATCTCTAGGGCACGTCGCTCAACTGCTCATCCAACTAGTGCATATGTCAAACTAATCAATCTTCACACTTTAAGCCAATTGTTGTCCATCTTGCTTCAGAAGATGTTGATCACCTTTTTGGTGCCAAAATTTCTGTCACCAAGAATAACATGCTTAATATATGTAAGTAGGTCAGTATGTCCTAGAGGTGGCAAGTTCACTGGTTCCTGAACCTTCATAAACTTCATTCACTGCACATGTGCTGGACTTAAACTTCCCTAACACATGTCACTTTCAGATAGGTCAGGGGGTGGATCTAGCATGATCTGCTAGAATAGTTTCAAAGTGTACACCTAGACATACTACTTATTTGCGCATTTAAGTCTTTGGCTCAGTTCATGGCTCTAAGCTTTCTTCAGATAAACCCATCTTTTTCTTTTTGGAGAGTTGGGGGTTTTTTAAACTACTTTTTAATTGGTTTTGAAAATGTGGCATCATACATCCTATCTAGCTGTCTAGCATTTTTTTCCCCGTTTGTCAAGCCAAAACTTTATTTTAGTGTGAGTAGCTGTGTAAGTTGATTTGCTTTTCTTTAGAAATGTTGTCCAAGCTAAAATGAGTGAAAAGGAGGGAGGAGATATTGAGATTTAATGGACATGCTCTTGTTTAATTTTACTTTTGTCTCTAATAGGTGGTCTGGATAAAAGGACATGGTCATAAGAGAATTGTAGTACTAAAGAATGACATGAAAAGTAAGAAAATTTGATTTATTTTTAAAAAAAATTATTTATATAAAGTAATTATTATGCTAATGGTAAATTGGCTTTTATAAGAGATGATCTCAGGCAAATAAACTTGATTTTTTGCAGCTCGTTTTAGCTCACCCAGTTTTTCCCCTGCTGATTATGTGGATGATCATGGAAATCAACTTGCTGATCATAATGAACATGTGGAGATTCCAGGATCCTCTGCATCAATGGAACTAAAACTAGGAACACCTACCAATGGTAACGCTAAGTGAATTTATATAATATAATTATTCAGTGTTTGGGAAATATGCTGAAAGCCAAGCAGAATGGAGAAAGTTGTATGACTTGGAGGTTCTTTTAAATGATGAAATTATTATAGACATTTAACTCTTAAAGCTCTCAGAGCTCTTTCTCCAAAGGCAGGTGAATACATTTTGGTTTTTGTCCCTTTTATTCCTTAGCTCTACCCTGGTTAGTTTAAATTTTTTTGACCAGGCAAAGTAATTCTTGCATGAATTGAATATTCACAATTTCATCTCGGGTTTAATCCCTAAATCCTTGTCAATTTGGCTGCATTGTTGACACTTACCAATTATGACCAAGTACTGTAGACTTGTTTCTAAATATTTAAAATTGGAAATGTATTTGAAGTTGGGGAGATTTTAAAAGATCTTCCTCCTGTTTCTGCAGTTATTAATCAAACTGAGCAAGAACTTCTTTGCCTCACACATACGTCCCCTATTGACCTCTTGTGTGAGCCAGTTCCTTCATGTTTACCTTCTCCACAACTGAGACCTGATCCAGTGATTCTTGAGTCTGCTGACCTCATTCAGTTTGAAGAGCATCCCCCACCTCTCTCTGGTACGTTAATAGCTTCAAGATACTTGCCCACATAGTCAAACTGGGCTTCTAATAACCATAATTTGAAATGACACATCAAGTAAGTTCTCCTGGATGGATGAGGACAAGTTGTAGAAGGGGTGTTGCTTCATATTCGTTATACTTTTATACAAGAGTCATCCTTCTGAAAGTATGAAAGCGTTCTTGCGTGCTAAATTCATAGGGACTACTTCGATTCTGTTCTAAAATGCCAGTTGCCTTTTATAGTGGCAACAGTTTTCTCAAACCTTGTGAAATGATAACTGAAGGAACATTACAGTTCTTCAGAGTATTAAAAAGCTTTAATGTGCGAGACGAGAGCTAGACCAACACAGTAAGCTAATATTAGATGCCAAAGCCAAATGTATCAAAAGCAGTTGAGCACTGAAACAAATTATCCTAGTTTCTAGAACCAAGTTCTAGTCCTGCACTCTCACAGACATCATCTAGTTCTTTTATTGTGGGTCCTGTAAACTTTTTTTTGAAAGCAAAATATCTATAAATAATTCAGATGATTTGTTTGTTTTTAGAAATTATGATTTTAACTGAAGAAGAAAAACAGAGGATCATCACCACCACAATAGCGCAAGAATTGCCCCAGGGCTCTGTGGTACCGACAGCCACAGAGAATACTTCAGTGCCTCCCAGTCAGTCTTCTGAAACCCAACTAAGCAAGGAAGCAATGGACAGCCCAGCCAAAAAACAACACAAAAATAAAGTAAAATTGGCAGCAAATTTTTCACTTGCACCTGTAACCAAGCTTTAAATTTTCCTCTAGTGTGAAAGACAAATGCTGTTGGACTCTGCACAAAATAAAGCTAACTGCTAGCCCTTACGTATTTTAATGAGGAGGACTAGAAGAGTCACTTACTTTGTATTTAGATGCATTCTGTAAAGATTTTGTTTCTTTTACACTGAACACAGCTGTCAGCAGGGCAGACTTTTTTATTATTTTGAAAAAAATATTTCCAGCATTCATTAAATTATTCTTAAAATTTTACAGTTTTTTTCATAAACTGGTGGTGTTCAGTAAAACAAAATAGAAACGCAACTAGAATGGAATGGATTTTATTTTCTTTAAGCCTCGGTGGTGTAATCCTACATGTAGCATATATTATATTCTATAGGATGTTGCTTACTGGTATTTTTTCAGACAGTATTAATAAAATGCATGATCTGTCTTTCAGAAGACCATTGAACAAATATAACTTGCTGGACTGGAATGAGTGAGCAGTTATTGATTGTACTAAGGCAGGGAAATTTGTTATTCGCAACTTGGTGACTTGTAATTGCATTGTGAAACCTTTCATGTAAAGATGTCTGTAGAAGGTTATATGGATTTTTTGGAAGATTTGTTTTAAATGTTTTCAGTAACTTTCCTTCTGTTTAGGAGCTTTCTAGGAAGTTGAGGATGTTTTAAGCTTCCCTTTTATGTTTAATTCTGGTTTGACAGGAATTAGGTTAAGGAAAGAAAAGATTGTCTTGGTGTCATAAGTTTAAGGTAGAATAAAGACACACTTTTATTGTGTCCAGAAATGAAGTTACTAGTAAGATTCCAATATTTCTAAAATATGCATTTAATGCATAAATTATGGATCATAGAGGTGATATAAAGTGCTTTAAGATGGAATGATTGATGCTATTTCCACTTGCAAGGAAAGCTCTAGCTGTGGAATTGCCAAGGTTGTTCTGCTTAACCTTGTTTTTCTATTTTTTTAAGCATGTTGATAAATGGGAAGCTTACTCTGTTGCGCCGTTTTTTAACTGTGTCTGTTTTTATTCAAAAACTTACTCCTAGTGTTGGAAGCATTTTGTTTTTCTCCCCTGTTTTTTTTGTGGTATTTTGTGTGGGCTTTTGGAATGTCCAGCCATTGCAAAGGAGGTAAGCCAGTGGGATGACCTTTTATTTCTAGTTAGCTGAAATGCCCAGTGAAGGGAGGCTTTATACCCATTTTGGGTAACCTTGGCATTTACAATGGATTGTATTTGCCAGGAAAGAATACATTTGAAAGAACCTAAGTGCAAAGGTTTACCACTGGTTGAATGGCTTCTGTTTTTGAGATGTGTTATTTGTAACTTGTAGAGATGGCAAGTGGCTCCAGTTTCATAGCCAGCAATTGAAAATGCCACTAAATAATGGCTATAAACAGAATTTTACAAGTCAGATTTTGTTAAAAATCTTTTAAATATAGCCACATATTACCAATACTAAATGTATAGCCATTGTGAATGCAGAGAAACACTTGGAAGTTTTTCTGAGCATTTTGGCACAGTATTTGAGTCCGTACTTAAACCTCTACAGATGTAGTGTTATTGAAAGCAAAATATAGCCTTTTTTTAGAATGCTTTTAATGATTTCAGGAATTGAATGTGAGAACATCTGCTGTTACCTTGCACAGCTTTCTTAAGGTTAACACTGATCATTTTGATCTCTGTTTCAGTAGCAAGTACAAAACAAACCTGTAAAATTTATTTTGCAAGATGCAATTACAAGTCATCCAAAGTACTAAGTGGAACCAGATTCTTGATGCTATGGAGGAAAAATTGGAGTATGATTCTGCACTATTTGTTTGTGAATGTGGTGGTTATGCCATTTATGGAGATCACATTTTTTTTCTGGATTCATGTGTAATTCTGATTTAAATTGCTGTTTGAGAGTAATGGAATAAAACTTTTGAGAAGTTGTGTTCATAGTCTGAGAAAATAGCCAATTGAATTGCAATATATATTTTTCTTATCCAAAAGGTTAAATGAATGATGTGACTTGCTGATTCAAAAGAATTAGGACCATGAAACTCTTTAATTTTCAAATTAAATATACAAATATAGATTCCTGTCTGTTTTAAAAAGTCACTGAAGTCCTCAGTTTATGCACTATCTCATAGAGGTGGGGGTGGGAGAAAGGGAGGAAAGGGAAGGAAAGAAAATTGTTTTTCTTAGCTGTTTACTTTGTTTGGACACTTTTTTTTCTTTTGTGGCTCAAGTGCTGTTTTGTGTGTTGGGACCAAACAAACAGTTCTGTCAATAAAATTTTCAAGCAAGCATAAAACTCTCGCCTTATTTACTGAAGGGGCAAGTTAAGAAATCCTAGAATTCCTGTTTGATTCCATTCCTTTCCTGCACCCACAACAAATGCAGTCATCCAAGCAGAATAAATAAATCACTATTTTCTTTATTATTATTGTTTTTAAATCTAAAACCAGCACTAACTCTTAATTCCAGGGGCACATTTTTAAACAAATGCTTCCTTCAGTTCCTGCAGCTCAAATCAGGCAATGTCCTTTAGTTGATTTTACTTAGCCTTGATTTAAAATTATGGAGAGAGAACAGGAAGTGTTCCCTCTCCATTATCTAAGGCTGGGGAGGCAGGAAGGGAAAAGTAAATGAAATGAAAACCTGGGTGCAATTTAAAATTAAAAGATGTGGCAAAGTAGTAGAATTTTCAATAAAGCCAAAGGGAATTAGCCCAAGTCCCTCTGTGGGACTTTAACCAAACCGTCCCTTGGGATTTTTCACTGGGGAAGTCTGGGTAAAATATTTTCGGTAACATCTGCCCTTATCAACTGATTTCTTATCTCCTTATTTACAGAGCAAAATAGCTCAAAGACACTTGAACCTAAATGAAGTGGCGTTTGTAATAGTTTCCCAGTTGAATGCTTCTTCCTGCCTGTGGTCCAGACTGCAGGTTTCTCCCTCTTATGCAGGGAACTCCTTACTGAAAGCTTGACCGAGATGAAATTTATAGCGCCATACAAAGTTGCTTTCATATTTTTGAAGTCACCAGTAAATGGTTGCAAGTCTTGTCACATAAAACAGACTATTGCCTATAATTAATGTTGTTTCTGAGATTTAATATTTTTATGCTATATAGTTTGTATATAATTTCCTGCACCTATTCTTTCCCCGCACATATTCAAACATTTGATGTTGTATCTTTTTCAGATTTTGGGCATTTTCTTCAAATTTTACTTCTACTGCTAATACGGTGTGAATGTATAAATACAGTAAAGAGAAATACTTTAGAAATCATAACTTCTGCATCAACATCTCTGATACTACACGTACGTCTGATCAGTTTCCTTTCTATTGGTGTACCATAGGATTTACTACAACAGCTAACTGAGCTACCTCTGAAGGATCATCTCCTGGCATTTCTCATAGATTTGGAGTCTAGCAGCTGTCTTTAAGGCCTGTTGCCCACTTCAAGCTCTATTGGATGCTCCTGTTTTCCCCATTCCCCTGCTTTTTATTTGGAGGCCATGTCATTCCACTGGGACCCATTATGTTTTCAGAGAGGAAAAAGAAAACTTTCTCCCTCTTTCTAGTGTCATTTCTTCGCCACTGAGAGAATATTAAGGTTCTCCCAAAAAGGTTGTTTCCATCTAATGGAACCAAGCAAAAAATTATATGGTTTCTTTCCTGGAGCATTTGGTGGACTTATTATGATTGGAAGCCATATGATCTTGAAAGAGGAAGACAGATGTACTTTGTGGGTCTTTTGATTGTGGTAGCAATTAGGGCTGTGCAAAATCTTGCCAGCAGTTTCGTTTCGACTCGAAACAGAAAAATCGAAACAAAGCAGAGAGCTTCAAAACAGCCTCGAAACGAAACAAGGCAAGTTGAAACATTTTGAAAAGTTTGAAATGTTTCAAGTTTCGAAGTTCAAGCTGGGCTTGCCTGCAGGGAAACAGAAACTAAAGTAAGGAGAGGGATGGGGAATGGGGCGGGAGGGAGTGCTTTCATATTGACTGTGTAGCTGGCCAGTGACTCACCCTTCCCTGAGGTCTCTTCCAATCCCAGTGCTCTGAGGGAGGGATGGAAAAACTGCCTAGAAGGCAGCATTGTTTGAACTGCCCTGCTTTCTGCCTTGGTGTCAGTTGAGTGAAGGCACACCTTAACACACACAGTGTCACCCACCCATGTCACGCATTTTGCCTGTCAGCAGCTAGAGGTGCAGGGCCCCAGAACCCAGACTCCCCCTGCACTTATCTCCTTGACAGCTGGCAGGCTTCGTGGCCCCAGCAGGGGCTAGCGTGCCTGAAGTTTTCACCCCACGTCACGTGGCATGAGTTTTTTTGCTTTCAAGACTTCGAGGTGCAGTTTCCCTGAAACTCCTGCACCTATCTCCTTGACACTTGGCAGGCTTCATGCCCTCAAAAGGGGCTACCATTCCTGCAAGTTTCATCCAAATCAGGCCAGAAATAACAAAGTTATAGGCTGTTTCGAGCTTCCCCATTATAGCCTATGGGCAAAATGTCAAAACCGTCTCGACAAAACAAAATGGAACAGCAGTTTTGAATTGAAATTAAATTTGAAACAAAACGCTGTTCCATTGAAACGTCAAAACGCAAGTCAGAACGGAACGGTGCCATTTCGCACAGCCCTAGTAGCAATGTACTAACAGGCATCCTTTAATTTACCTTTTTCAAACATGAGACCAGGAGTAAGTTAGGCCAGGATCTCCCATAAAGGCACAGAGATTGGATTCAACATCCTTTATGAGGGAGGGGATATAATTATATATGCCTGTAAACTATTTCTAACTGCTGAAGGCCTTGGGCAAGTGTCGAGGGGGACTAACCTTATTCGTTAGTAAACTAAAGGGACTTGGAGAAGAGCTACAGAGGGCTAGCAAAATTGGCTTCTAGGAAAATATTTAAGAAAACTATTTATGCCTGCAGGCTAAGATGACAAAAGGGAGAGAGAAGTCTAAAATTGGAGAGAATGGAGATTTTTTTTGTGTGGTATGTGGGGGCTGTAGAAGTA